AATGTTAGAATTAAAGGCAAACAGAAAGGATCCAATCTGATGATGCCGGAGTAGCAGTGTTTGCATTCTCAGGGATCAGGAATGCCATTTCTGCAGGGTGCGAACTACAGGGGAGCCAGAAGGAGCTCGTCTCCTCTTAATAAGACACAGGGTCCTTGAAAACATGATTTATTCAATTTATTAAATATGCTTTTTTGGTTTGTCTTTTTCAATGTATTTATCTTTTCTGCATTGCATGGAGGGTGATTCATTAATAATTCCCTTTACTAAGAATACCGGCATGCATTCTCTGCAAGCTTGACCTCACCCACATCTGCTACAGACAGACGTTGGAGGACACCCTGCAGCAGTCTGACTTGATAAATCATCAATTGTGGAACTGCAATTGGAATTGCATTTAGCCCATGTGTAAACAGGATTTAAAATTTCAGGTTTGTTGAAAAAAAGGATAAATTTGAGTGAAATCTGCAGAGATGGCATGGACAAAGTAACTTATTTATTATTCTAGTATTATTCTTGTTTACCGGGCTGGAGCTAAATATAACATTACTGGCTACAATAAGCTCTTCTAGTTACCAAGTTGGTCAGAAATGTGAGTAAGTTTTTCAGACTGACATATGGGGCCTATCACTGATCCAGGACCTTGTGTTGTCTTTGGGTATGGCAACCTTAAATAATTAATAACAATTTCAATAACATATATCATATAGCAGTGCTATGCACCCCCCTCCCTCATCATCCCCCGTCTGTCATGCTGATGCATCATTAATTCTCAAATAGCAGTTATTATTCTCTGATATGTTATCTCACTTGGGCCGTTCATCAAGCTCAGCGGTGGATATTAACTGGCTAAAAAAGTAGATGGACTGACATTATTGGGTGCGTACACTGGTGGGCAAAAGATTTGGCAGTGGTATTGTGATGGTTTGCTTAGCCAAGGACGCTCAACAAGGTAGTCTTCTTCTGGGGTGCTGGCCAGGTTTCCCTGACATGTAAGGCCGATTTATCTTAAATGCAAAGTACACAAAGAGTGTTTGCACATTTAAGACCGAACACCCTGGACACTGATTGAAAACAAACCTAATGCAATTTATAATACACACACACAGAAATATATTCAAAACACCCAAACACAAAAACAATATAAAATACCATCAACTAGTAAATTCAGCGCACAAATAGTCCATGATCTCAGTTCAATGCCGTTGCTTGAGTTCATTCACAAAACTAAAGACAAGGACCCCACTCAGAGTTTTTTTTTTTTATCAGTTCCTCAGTTAATTCTCTGTCAGTCCAAAACAGTCACACGCAAGAAAAGCTGCAGGTTTTCTACCTGACGCAAAACAAGAAAGTGAGCTCGGCACTTTCAAACAAACACTTTCTGGAATGGATGCCCGATTCACCACTTTACTCCAGTGGAGTGTCCCAGTGTGAAGTTAGCCTCCTACTTCACAAAGGGAACAAATAATGGAGTTTCAGCTGAGATGGGCCACAGAGGTTATCTCACTGCTTCCTTCTCTGGCATCTTCCATCCCAAATCCTGGCCCACAAGAAAGAGAGTAAAAGGGCTGAACCATCTGCAAGTGCCAAATCCGGGCAGTGACTCGCTATTCTAATTACTATATATACGTCGTTATGTAGATAAAGGCCTTTTACTTTGTTCTCTGGGACAAAAGAGGAGGAAGGTTGAATTTGCAGCTGGAAGATGACAGGATCCTGGCCATCATGAAAGGAACAGGGTGTCCACATGAACTAACAGTGATTAGAAGCGAGAGGCACAACCTGTCAGTTTTACTACCAGGTCCTCAAGACCACATACTAAGGATGATCAAGAAAAGCTGCCAGCAAAAAGATTCAAATCTGCTCTGTTGAGAGGCTTTCCACAGCACAAACCTCAGTGATGACAGCTGGCCAAAACAGCTGAAAATTCTGTTCCTCGCTGAGCTTGGGTATTAAACATTGCTATTGTAACAGCAGTCTGGCGAGGAAGGAGCGGCTAGCCGGTCCAGCGGGCATGTGGTGTGGAGGTTAGCCGGATAACACGGAACCAGTCGGTTAAATCCAATAACAGACCTTTATTCGCCGTCAGCAACATTACACTTTATAAGCCAGGTCTCCTCGGCTGTACTCGTCCGAACCTACATGCGCGGGGATTGGTACCACCAGCGCCAGCTTGTCACAACAGTAAGTAAGGTGCTTTCTTGGAGCATGGAACATGAGCAGCATGAAATGGCTGCCGCTAACAACTCACACACCCACTAGGAGACCCCCACAGCTACTACAATAGTTGGGCAACCCCCCCTAGTGGTGCTATAACCCAAAAGGTTTGTTACACTATCTGAGGCCAAAAGAACTAAAGATGAGGAGATTTAAAGGTGGTGCAAGAGACAAAGAGGACAACATGCCACGAGCTGATGGAGGACTGGCACTAAAATAGATTGCATGTCAACTTTGGAAAAAGATCCAACCTTCTGTTTTCTTTTCCTCACCCCCAACCGGTCATGGCAAATGCCTGCCCCAACCTGAGCCTGGTTTTGCTGGAGGTTTCTTCCTGTTAGAAGGGAGTTTTTCCTTCCTACTGTCTCCACGTGCTTGCTCATAAGGGGTGATGTGATTGTTGGGTCTTTACACTACAATATAAACAGCCTTGAGCTGACTGTTGTGATTTAAAGGGCTATATAAATACAACGGAAATGAAAAATCAAAAGTTCATCAACAAGGATGCCTGAATGAAGACGTCATCCTGGCAAACACATCTTCTCACATGGTCTATATGATAGCAACCACCCCATTTATGGTCCCCTGTTTAGCCTTTTTATTAGAAATATACCCTTTTGTTAGTTCTTAATTCTCATTTTTTCTCCCTCTCCATTCTCAGTAACTGTCTGTGAATTTCTAGAATGTTCTGATAGAATTTATAAACAGCCTATACAACACATATTTACAGAACTGATAGCATCAAAGGATGACATTTGGACATTACACTGTCCGAATAACGTCTGGTCTCCTGCCGTAGTGGCTGCCAGATATAAAAAAAAAAGAAGGAAAAACCACCCCGAGCAACAACAAAACCTTGGACAGGTGTAAGCACCTCCCTTCTCTACAGGTGGAAAATCACAGTGATGAGGCAGATCAAGCCTCTGATACTCACTGTTCAAACAGAGGGAGGCATGACTTCAGTTTGCTAAACAGGCAGTGGAACCACAGACATTTCAGCTCACTATTTCCTCACCATTGAAGCAGCAAAGACTCTCTCTCTGCCTCTCTCGTTCTGCCTCTATTTTTAGCAGCCCCTGAGATGAGAGACGACCCACCACTGCGGCGGTGGCAGGCGTGAGTGGGCGATGGTATAGCGAAAGCAAGAAATATTGATAGGGGGAAAAAAAAGAGTTCACAAAGCCGAGCATCAGAAAAAGAAGAAGAAGAAAAGAAGAAAAATCAGTGAAAGTTGAAAAAGAACAGGAAGTGCCTTATTTTCATTGCTTGGAGAGAATTTAATCAGTGCGATCCAAACGAAAGTTCACGCTTGTATAATATGATGTCATGATCCTAGATGCAATCTGTTGCATAAACTGGGGGAGCACACTATAAAGACGAAATTAAGCCAACACCTGTACGAATGGGGGAAGAGCTTTACACTGCAGGAGTGTGGACATGCAGGGCAATGACAGGAACGAGGTAGAAGCAACTTTGTAATCTCCAAAGGAGCCAACATGGCTGTCTTTACTTTCTATAACAACTATTACAGAGAAAATCTGCAGCACATGCATCCAATGTCTTAACAGCATCTAACGTAACAGTCAAATGATATGTACACAACAGTTTAAATGTTAACAAATAACTTTGTTGTGCAATTCTAGAAGTCATCAAAAATTGTCCAAGTTATAAATAATTGTAAAGTTATTTTTGTTGAATTGTTTGCTGACAGTATGTAAGTGTCCGTGCTGATAGACAACAAAAAATCTATATACAGTACTGTGCAAAAGTCTTGAGTCACCATTATATCTTTACATTTTAATAGGAAAATGGGAAGTATGTGCAAGTATGTGTTGTACGTCTCTCCCGACCCACTGATGCGAACAATGCTGATGACAATTTGAATCAAACATAGATTCATCACTTCATAAGACCCATTGCTCTTGTGTAATTTGTCATACCTCAGTGTTAAAGGCTTTTTTATATTTGCAAAAACGCTTCAGCTCTCATCTATGAAACTTTATCAGAACCCTCGAGAGCAGTATTTAACCCCTAGTGCGGGCTGTCTCATTTGGAAAGTGTCCTGAGGATTGTTGACCCACTACTGATCATGTGAGTCACACAGGGTGAAGGTAATCACCCACGCCTTTTTTAAAGACTCATGCAAACATAAAGACCGCCATTACCTGGATGACTGAAAACCTATACAGACACACAACACACTTCCATCTTTTCTTCCTGTTTCCATTCCTTGAAAATGGCTCCTTGTCACCTTTCCACCTGAGACTATTTATGATGAGGCATCAGCGAACAATAGATGGACCACCTGAAGGGCATCTCTCAGGTCCTGTGTCAGTGCTGATTTTTTTCCCTATTTCTTAAGGCCGTGACTTTCAGATACTGTTCATCTGCTGTCGATAGATTTGTAGTCCTGTCAACTTTTGTCGTCTCCATGTCCAGTTTCCTGAATTCTTTAAAAGGACACACTGTGCTGAGATATGTCAAGTTTGCAACTAATAACTGTTTGGAAATCACGCTGTTGGTGCAAAAGTTATACTTTATGCCTGTAAAACTGTGTTATCTTTAGCTGAAACTAATAATAAAGAAATGGGAACATAGTATAAAGAAACATGAAGAAACGAGTACTGTCTGACAACTTTTGCACTCTAGTGCATAACCCTCAAATATATGAAAGACTGAGAGAGATAATTAAGATATTTAAATATTTAATTAAACAATGAAAGATTTCCTAAATAATGAAATAAATGAGGGGAACATGAACAAATGTAAAAAGCCAGCTGTACCTGCTCGTGGTGCTCAATGCCCATGCTGATGGTGTTGATCAAAATGGCGATCATGATGCCTCGGTTAAAATACTTGCTCTCCACGATGCCCCACAGTTTCATCCTGATCTCGTACCACAGCTCCTTGCATCCCTTCTTCGGACTACAACAAGACTCTGCACCTTCATGGCCTTGTTTGTCCTTCCCTTTAGTACTGGACTGTACACCATCCCTGTCTGATTCCTCCACAGTTCCCTCTTCTGTTTCGTCACTCGCTGCATTTCGAACTGGTCCCACCCCGTCAGAGAGCGCCAGCGCTGCCGCGCACTGAGGGCAGCCGGCTGTGGCGGAGGCAGCAGTGAGGGCCACAGGCTCAGCGGATGAGGCATGGCCTAGTTTGTTGTGATGGGGACATGGCGGGCCTTACAAAATGCAAGATGGAGAGATTAAAGGGTGATCCTATAAATCAAATAGATAAATACTACTTTCTTACAGTTACGTACCATGTCTTAACCCCGCTCTTCTGTCACGTCCTTCACGTCCATTGGCCTTCCTCTCCCTTCCTTCCCCGCCTCCTCTTCCTCTTCCAACACCATGAAAGCCACGAGGTTTCCCCCGGAGGGTGTTAAAAAGGGCAACAGTTTGCCTCCTCGCCTTTCGGAGGAAATGGCAGACCAGCTGGAAGAGCTCTTCGTAGCAGTCCCCAGGTTCACTGGCCAGGGTGGAGGAGGATGAACACCGAGCTCGCTGCTCCTGCATCAGCTGATGCTCCCGCTGCTTGGTCTCTGAGAACTGGGTGGCAATGACCACGAGGCACAGGTTGATCATGAAGAAGGAACCGACCTGGGAGGATGACAGGCATGCGCACATTACATAAACAAAATTTAAAGCTGCGTGTTGCTTGACTGTCACGTTCCTCCCCAAGCTGCCCAGTGCTGAAAAAGTGTTTACTTGTGAGAATCCAAACTAATGAGATGTAATTATTTTCACAGGGCTTTTGTCTGTTTATCTGTAATAAAAGAACCCTTTTAAAGGCCTATTATTAATCCTAAAACACTCCCATCCAATAAAAAGGTAATAAATCATTCTTAAATATAATGACCTGCAACAGTTGGAAGCTCCAGCATGAAACTGGAAACCCCTAATTTGGTCTGTTAGTCGACAGCTTCTGCCAGCTAATAACGCTGAATACAAAACTCTCAGCATGATGGCCTTATGCCAGAGCACTGTAGCTCTTACCTCTAGCTTGTTAGTCCACTTGGCTGGACAACTCCAGACATAACACATTATACAATATGTTCACAAACAAATCTGCTCCAGTGCCATCCTGAAAATACTTCTTTTTTTTAGTATTACAACCAGCAAACCAAGCAATGACTAAGAGAGGAGAGCTAACATATTAGGTGGCTTGATGCTGTTGTAGCTGTAATAATTAGCAACTTTCTTTTAGAAAAACCTATGATCACACGAGACAAGCCTTATCTATCTATCTATCTATCTATCTATCTATCTATCTATCTTTCTTTAGGTTTTACAACACTGATTTGTTGAGAACAAAAACTACAATTACACAGTATCTTATCCTTTTTTACCCTAAGGCATGAAAATATATATTTTTGAAAGTGAAAATGACAACAACATTCTGGTAATGCTGATACCTTATTCATATAAACATGTAATTATTACAACTATTAAACACCATCATCACCATCACTGCTCTATCACAAAAAAATCCGCAAAACTACCATGTATCAGTATCAGTTCAACATCATTTTACACTAATACAAAACACATTTACAACACGTGGCAATAAACAGCTGCTTGTTGAAAACTAGTTTCTGCACTTATAGAGCACTGGTAGGACAACCAGCCCCACCCAACCCATGTTATGATCTCTTTTAATCTCAGTTAGCTCTCAGTATATTTTTAAACAGCTGCTTGTCATTCCAGGTGTAGCTCTCCAGCCTGTGAAGAGTTACCCTCAAGCACAGGGGTGTCAAACATGCAGCCGGGGGCCAGAATCTGCCCGGCAAAGGCTCTTAGAGACTTTTTCTGTAATTTGGGTTTTCTGTAATAATAATAATAATTTTACATATTTATTCATCCATATTATGGAGCAATTGTGACCACACAGTTTACTCTGGAATCATCTCCCTCTTCAGATTAGGTCATCTTCTTCACTAACACGTTCAAACCCAATTGAACATGTGCGTTTTTCATTAGCATTAACTTACAGTGTCATTTTCCCCCAGTGCATCTCTTTTACTTTTATGCGTCAAACTCATCAAAGAATATATATTTAACAGTCAGAGACTTTTTTACTGCTGTTGAATGTCAAAATATGTCAGATATGACCCGAACAGTATGCAAGGACAGAACATAGGAATGAAAAATCTTGATACTAAGACAACATCTTCTAAAGGCAGACACATTATCACAGAGATGCAAAGCAGAGGAACTTATTTAGACACCGTCACATACCCTGTCCTGTCTTGATCATCAGTTTTTGTGGTGCATTTGCTAAAAGCCTGCATTCATAAAAAAGTAAGTGGAGAAGTTCGTGAAGTCTGATGAGGTGTATTGTCTGTGAAGGTTCTCAGTCATCCAGGTCATCGTAGTCAAAGGAGCTTGCAAAGAAAAGCGTCTGGACTTCTTTAAGTTGCTTGAAGACGTTTCACCTCTCATCCGAGAAGCTTCTTCAGTGAAACGTCTTCAAGCAACTTAAAGAAGTCCAGACGCTTTTCTTTGCAAGCTCCTTTGATGAGGTGTATTGTAGCTAAACTTACATCTTCTGAACTTACAATAGGTAGAGTCTGGTGTTTATGGAGAAAACTGGTAACAGAATATTCAGCTTAGTTTAACCTTGACTTGGAATCTCTTAAGATGTCTGTGCTTTCAGCAGTCTGCTAACTACCAAACTTACCTCCATACAGCTACAGCACAATATATAAAAAGCTTGTAGGCGTATTGGGACTGTTAAGAAAAGGTGTCTACCCCCAACTGAAATCTGGCGTTGAACATTGTAATGCACGATTCATAATGAAACACATATCTGGTGTGATACATGAAAAACTGAGAGCAGAAAGGTCAGAAGAGGGAAGAAAAGTTTTTTTTTACCATCACTCCTTTAACTAAAACCTTAGGTTGTGTTTTCCTGCTTAACCACTGATATCATTCAGCCACTATTGACACTTTTATTTAGATGTTTTAGGCTCATTTTCCATGAGACACAACTGGTAAAACAGATTTAAAGAAAAAAAGGGAAAAAAAGAGATGACAAAATAGGTCAAGGTCACCAAGAAACGCTAAGCTGATGTGGAAAGAAAACAGGAGGAAATTAAGCCTAGTGCTCTGCAGGCTGTGATCAATAGTGATTGTAAGCCCCATAACCTCACTAAACCACTGCGACAAAGACTACGGAGAAAGCAGAATGTACGTGTGTGTCCGTTTTAGTGTAGAGACTGCCTTTTCATTGATTCAAAGCAGAGATTTGTGGTCAGACTGGTTCATGCCAGTTCACTGGACTCACGTACTAAAAGGGAGGCAGTGGGTCCCAGCACCCGCTCAGCACCCTCGCTGATCCCATCAAATATTTATGCTCACACTCTGCTGGAATGGCTGAAATACAATTAGATTAGTCTGTGTGTCTCGGTGTGTGCACTTTTAGTTTGCAGCAGAGGTGTGAGAGGCAACTAGTGTTTGAAGAATAGTGAATGAAATAATTACGTTGCCTTCTAAACAAGAAAGCTGCAAAAATCTATGTTTTTTTTTTTGGAAGTGACATCAGAAACAGCAGCATGTGACATCACGTGATGGCGGAGCTTCAGTTCATCCTTTGTCATCCTTTTTTTTTTTTTTTTTTTTTTTTTTAATAGGACAGGGGGAAAGAATGAAAGAAAGAGGGGGAGAGGAAGAAAGAAAACCAAAGGGGAGAAGAGACGGTGAGAAGGGGGGGAAGAGAAAAAAAAAAAAAAAAAAACTCCTGGGTCACCTGTGTGGAGAGAAAGAAAAACAAAAAAAACAGGGGAGACAGCAAACAACAAAGAGCAACATAATAATAATAAAAAAAAAAAGCACCATCACAATAAACTAGCTAGTCATAGATATCAATAGTTACTAAATAGTAAACGATATTGTGCAGCACGCAAGATAGACAGCGCACAGTGTGCTTTGAGGTAGCAGCCAAGAAAGCTTTAGTCCGCGTCTGTGAATACCCATGTGTACACCTGTGTGCATACCTGTGTGGATCAGCATGCTTGCATTCCAAAGGTTTCTCCATGTAATGATCTGCTAGAGAGTGTGGGGAGCCATAGCCCTGTCCTCTATGGTATCAAGCAGGTATGGAGGAGATCAAAACTCCAGACATCCAGAGGCCCCCAGAACACAAGAGACCAAGGAAGACCCACAGAGGGGCAGCCGCGCCACTGTCCCAGTAAGAGCTAAGGAGAGTCCCAGATGAGAGCTCATTCAGCAGCCGCGGAGCAGAAGCCAGGGGGAGTTGCAGGGACGCGGCCGTGAGCTCCGCCGGCAGCCAGCTGTGCCTGAGTGACCGAGCCCCAGGCCGAGAGGCCGGGGGCACCCCACCTCCAAAGTGGCCCGAGCGAGCCCCAATAAGCGGCCGCCAAGGAGTGAGCCGGTGTGTACCCGGACGCCCACCCCCAGATACAAAGAACCACCAACGCACCGATACCTGAGGGAGTCCGCCACCGGCAGGGGAAGTGGTGGTGGGTGGAGATAGGCCTCCAGACCTTGGAGGGCCCGAGATGTCCCCAGAGAGGTGGCGTCTGATACCCAACCTGACATATAGACACAGACATACAGGCACACACAGACACAAACATCCATTCCCACCCTCATGCTCTCATATGTACTTCACACTCAACCGACGTGGAGACAGACATAAAGGGACGATCACACTCCCCAAGCGTACTCTACTAACCGGGTCTAGGTACCCTTGCCCCTGGAGGGGGGAACTGCACCCAGACCCAGGTGGTGTTACCCTTTTCCCTGCGGTGGGGAGAGGCAGACCGCCCCGACTCCGCAGCAGCAGGGAGGCCCCAGACCGCAGTCGGACGGCCCACTCCTCCTAGCCCCCCCGCTCCAGTAGGCCGCAGAGAATGGGGGTGAGAGAAGACTCCAAGCCTCCCTCCACCCGCTCATTGTAGTGTTGATGCATGTGTGTTCTAAGGTGCAATTAAAACCCAGGAGGGCTTGGAGCTACCTGCCAGAGAGCAGCAGGTAAGCGCATAGTCCCTCCTGCTAGCCCTCAATGTCTACATGTATTTAAAATTGAGAGGTGGGCAACGACGCCAGGGTGAGGCGTACACCCTGATGGTAACTTGGACTCCGTGTATCGTGCCCACCCCCAAGTATGTATGTGTAATGAGGGTGTGAGTAATGTGAATGTCTAAGTTGTGGGATAAAATTGAGGCAGAGGCAGCCAGAAGGGGACAGAGGGGGGGGGGGGGTAGCCTCCTCTGCACCCTGGTGACATACCCCTACTCCAAGGCCCTGCATGTGTGGGTGGTTGTGGTGGAGCAGGAGGAGGGAGGCAGCTGGAGATGGGGAGGGAAGGAAGGGAGGGGCAGGTGACCCCTCCCTGGGGCCAGCTCCCCCGCTGACCCCAGTAGGCACTCCCACACTCCGCGACCCGCCAGGGAAAGGGGGGCCCAGGCCCATCCAGACCGGGGCCCAGCGCAGCAGCGCCCCCCGGCCCCACAGAGCCCGGGACAGTCCACCCAACCCCACCACAGAGAAAACTGCACCCACCCCACCATCCACTCGTCTTCCAGACTACATGAGACAATAGACACCCAGGCTGAGATCTTCCTCCACCTCTCCTG